CCAGGTATATATATATATATATATATATATAATTAACAAGGAAAATTAGCATTATGGGGACCAAAATTTCCTCCACTCTCCGGACTAAACTATTAGGGTCACAATTTCCAGCTACCCCCTATATTTTGCTGATCAAGAATCCAAATACGTAAAAAAAATGTATGTTTACTCTGAGAAATTACATTTTATGTCTGATTTCGTAATTATTTAACCATTAATGTCTGATTAATGTCATTCGTAATTATTTAACCATTAATGATTTCGTAAACCATTAATGTCTGATTTCGTAACTTTATTGACAATTAGCGATAAAATATAAGCATGTTTGAGGTTATCCTCAGAAAGATTGACACTAAGTACGTAAAAATACGACCATTAGAAAAAAAATTCTTCTTTTTTTTTTTTTTTTTTTTTTTTTTTTTTTTTTTTTTTTTTTTTTTTTTTTTTGCGGAGAAAAAGAAGGTAAAATGAATAACTTATTAATAGCATTTGAATATGCTAATGGCTTAGTGCAGGCTATATTTATGGTAAAGAAGTCAGACACTAAAACGTATTTTCTCTTACAAAAATTATTTACTTCTGAACACAAATGTGCATAGTTCATTGACTTCAGCTTCTTTTTTTCAAATTATTAAAATGTATTAATAACATTTAGTATAACCAATTACGATTGATAAGAGTTTTTAATGCGTATCACTTTTTATGTAATGCCCATAGCTAAAAATTAAAATCTTTCATCATACTGCAAGTTCAAACAAAATATAGGGTTAATGATATCTTACGTATATCAATATACGACAACTCATATTTTATGCTAGCCTTCTGCAATTTCCAGTTGATCCAATTACTCTAAATTACCACTGCGCGTTACCACAAAGAAGTAGTTAATAATTGGTATTCAAAAATGTATTTAATAACCGATTTATGAAAAATATCTAAATTAAATAATAGTATACAAATTTGAGTTTAAAAGCAAAAAAAGAAACAAATCGTAAAATAGTAACTAAAACGCATTAGACATAACCTGAGTATTGTGAATACTTGATTTCTCCCTAACCAGTAACATGTAGATATGACTTAGGTTCCTGATAAATTACGTATGCACTATGTTCCTTGAACTGTTTTTATTCGAATCTTTAATTCAAAACTAAAGTTAAAAATTGTATTTTACAGATGGAGTCTGTAAAGAAAAGAGATCTGAAAGCTGGACACTCAAAACTTCAAAAACAGAATTGACTGAAAGAGCTGACTTCATAAACAATTTCTCTGAACCTCCTTCCCTGCAGCACATTGCAGTAGTGTCGATTGCAATTAGGCTATGTACGGCACCTGATATAAGGAATGAACTGACGTCTTATATCTTATGCGATATCGGAGGTATAGCAGAGTTAGAGGGACGAATATTAGGCAAATTGTTCGATAGCCCTTTGCCCTCATCCCTGCAGTCCGAAATCTCATACGTCGTTCGACCCATTTGGTTGCAGTTGTTGAAAGCACTTCGTAGTTACTATAGATGGACAAGATGGGATAGAAATCTCTGTGAGTTTTACATGAAGCGTGGTATAATTTATTGGACAGTTGAGGGGACAGTTGACGTAGCGAAATCCTTTACGGAACTATTCGATAATGGAAGCTTAGAAAGCTTAGATATTTGCGATTTGTATGCGACAGCTTGCTCTCACTGTTTAGGGGAATATGCTTCAATTCTCTGGGAGAAAATTCCAGAAGAACTTAGAAACCGATTTAGAATCGCTCGATTCAGAGGAATGTACATTCATTTTCGGATGACAGATATATACTATGATTTGATTATATATTGGACATGTGTCCTCGAGAATAATTTAGGGAGTTTTCTAACTAGACTCATAGATCAAGAAAACATATACGATGATAAGCTTAGTATTGATGTAAATATGATTGCTTGTTCGATTCAGGTAGGTAACATAGTTGCCCTAAAGTATTTTTGGAAAAAATTGTCGGAGCAGGAGAAAAATGATCATTTGAGTAAATGGCTTTTGCAAGCTACTCGACGTATAGGAGCTCAAAATCATTCACTTTATCTGGATTCTTCAGAAGCTTTAGATGTTTTATGTTTTTTATTAACTCATGTCAATCATATAACTCAAATGACCGAATTTTTTCGGAATCATTCTCGCGTATTAGTGTTTTTGTTCGAAAGTTGGCCATATCAAAGAATATTCCTGTCCACTATTTTTGAACTATTGGATCATCTTCAAGAAGACATTTATTCATGTATAATGCGGAATATCAGTTCTAACATGGGTAAAAGTGGAAATGAAATGATGATTTTTGAAGAAATATGGAGTGCCAGTCCATTAAGACTAAGACGATCATTTCTGAAAAATGAATTTCTTTGCTACGAAGTGTTGTTGCATTTGCTGAAATTAGAAAATCTGAACATGGCTGTTAGGTTATTAAATGATGCTTCCGAAGAAGAAATTAAACAATTTATCTGCTTTATGTTTAGTTTGCCTGAATTTAAGCGTGCAATTTATTCAAACAATCTGAATTCACTCCACATGTTATTATCAAAATCTACTTTGCCACCAGAATGTTATCCCTATAAAAGGAATGTTTTAGAGCAAAAAGAGCTTGATACACTGATGAAATCGTGGTTTATTGGATATGGATCATATGGAGATTGGCATATTTGTATTGAGTGGATATGCGATGGTAACATCCAAGCAGCTGAGTCCTTCTTGAGATGGATTTATCAATCTGTACGAATTGAGGCATTTAAGAAAACTACATCGTCTCCGTATGTTTTCTATTTGACATTAATATTTTTGTCCAATTATGAGAGTGTGGACCAGTTTATGAATTGGTTTTTCGTGACGAGAGAGGATATTCAAGAATTTAAAGTAGACTTTTTGCGAAATTGGGATAATTATTTTTTCAAGCGATTCATAGACATGCCACTCATTGTATCAAAAACAAAAGGCGATTTGTTGCAAAAATTTATAAACTACAACTTGTCTTCTCTTGAAAACATTGCAGAATTTCGACTTATTTGTCGTAGTTGTATAGAGTATGCACTGAGTAAAGGTTTTTTCGAAAGTGCCACCTTGCTTTTGAATGCATCTTTTGATAATATCAATGAAGTGTGGCAGTACAAAAACGAACTTATACTATCTGAGAAAGGAATTAAAAGGTTTCTGATCTTAAATCAATCACTAACTGATAATGCCTGGAATCATGCGAAAGAAATTGTATTGTGGTCGTCGCCTCTAACCTTAAATACAGTTAAAAAATTAAAGTCACTAATTCTGGAGCAAAAGACCAGTCACTCTTTCCAAGATGAATTGAATCCACAGATTTCGGCTCTCCTTGATTTACTGGAGAATGTTGTTGCGAAAGATAGCTGATGATAGTTGAAAATTTTTTTTTGCGATCATAAACGAATGCAAATAAAAGCATGTTCACTGTCAAAAGACAAATCATGTTCACTGCACAATCATTGTCAAACGATTAATTGTCTTATAATAAATAGGTGACTCCAATTTTGAGTGCTAGTTGTTTAATATTAATGAAACAATTTCCGTCATATATTGGTTGTCTCAACTTTAATAATTAATTTAATTGTTACAGCTTTAATTTTTCATTTATACTGTATTTATTATATCTGAAAAATCAACAATTTTTAGTGGTTTATTTTTCCTCATTATTCCCAAAAAGCAGTCACTAGGAATATATATATAGTATATATATATACATATTGCCCGTGAATGTTGCGACAAGCTTCTAGGGGAAGTAGGGCACATCATAAGGATTAAGAATTTCCTAAGAAACCATGGCCGGAAAAGTCATCTTACACTGCTAGGGACGCTTTCCTAATACGGACATACTTACGCGGTGCTTTCCTAGTAAAAAAAAAAAATCATAAAAATTTGTAGATATTTTTTAAAAAAATTTACACCAACTTATGTAATATCTTATTTTTTTCTTATATTTTTAAAATTGTGCAAGAGAACATCTTCCAACACATGACCTTTGTAGCCAAATTCATTTTTTCCACCAAATCCATTAAATTTTCACAAAACACATGCAAACACCTCCATGGGAATCCTTAAACTTCATTTCCTCAAAATGATTTTTATCCATCCTTTAACCAAAGAATGTGGATCGAAATTTAAATCACACTCGAAAATTATTTTTACGAGGTTGTGTGATTTATAGCTGTTCAATGAAAGGAACGAAATTTGCAATTCCGCGTGGTTATTCATTACACTTCAATTCAAATACTACTACCTTTTCTCTTTTAAACCACAAAGAATCATTGATCATTTGGTTGCACTAGAAGTTGAAAAATGTTCTAGTCCATGGTGAAGGTACTTTACACTTCAAAACCAAATTCTTTATAACCTACATGGGAAAATGATGATGGGGTGGGGAGGGGGGCAAGCCGAGCATGCAGAGACCCAATGATTGATCTTAGAGTAAAATATGGTCCTTGAATCTTAAAACCCCTTTTGTAGGGCCCCCTAAAGTCTCAAGGAAGTCTGAGATTTTTCTTATAATCTTTTCTTCGTAGCATGTTCTTTTTTCTGTTACTCTCCCTTTCTTTTCAAGGCCGTTCCGCGATCTCAGAGTCGACCTTCGTTTTCTTTTTTTTAATTTTATTTATCATTTTTTTTTCGTTGTCCTTTATTTCATTACTTTGAATTTTTGAGCAAAAGACTGAT